ATAAACCACAACAACAACAACAACAACAACAACCCAAACAACTACAACAACAACATCATCATCATCATCATCATCATCATCATCATCATCATCATCAACAACTAGTATCAATTTCTTTATGATAAGCCCTTAGTCCTGGCTCGCACTGAGTCACTTCCGTCTAGCCTGGTAACCACACGTAATCTTAAGACCCTCTTCGTTAGTCGCATTTCCCTGCTAGTATACAGCGCTCACTAAGTTTTTCTCTCAGTTGCTCCTGAGGAAGCCCACGAGGCGAAACGTTGAGCTGTGTCTATTAAACACATTTAAAAACATTCTATATTATTTTGTCTGAAATCCAAACAAGACTCCCCCTCCTACACTACTTTTCAAAAAACAACAACAACACTATGATAACTGAATAATATATATGCATTCACTTTGTAATTGCAGCAGCAGCAACAACAGCAGTATATATACACAGCAGCAGTAATGGTAGTTGTTGTAGCAGTAGTGTAGTATTAGGCGTCGCACAAACCCAAACTTGCTCTGGTGTGGTTTGCTTTTTCTTTCCTATCAAACATCTAGATCTATCGTCCTTATCTCTCCTCCTTCTTTTTCATGTTTGTTACTCTCTTGTAACACCTCTAATCTTCGGCACTTATATGACCTAATTGTGTTGCAAGTGCCGTAAAACTCTTACTAAAACTAAAAAAAAACCTTGGAAATATATCTTCAAATGCCCGCAACCACTAGCCATCTCAATCCTCATTTCTCCAATTCTGCTTATAAGAAAATATTCTCCTGTACAGAAACATTGGTCATCTCCAGACATTTATGGACGCACTATCTATAACCAGATCAGTTCTCTACATCATCTCCTTGTATGAAACTTACCCTTTACGGAAATGAAACTAATCAAACACCCTCCTCCCATCTCCCCTCCCCCCTCCAACCTTCCATCCTTCCCACACAACACACACACACACACACACACACATATAACACTATCTAATCGACAAACGTACGGACATAACTAGACAAAATAATCACAGAAATGCGAGGCGAAAAACCCAATCTAGGAACGAATACAAATCAAAGCATAACAAAGACCAAGTCGATAAAACCGCACGGAACAAATGAGAAGAAAACAAAGTTCCCGTAAAAAGAACAGAAAAATCAAACACACAAGATAATAAATAATAATAAGTAGAGAAGACGACTTAGTGTTAATAGAAGAGAAACATAGTCCAGTATAGTAACACATAGGTCGTGTTTGTTACCATACTGTCCATATTATGGTTGACCCTTGAATATTTGAAAGACACCACACACGTTCTAACATATTATTATATACGCACGCGCGCGCGCAG